GGGCCGCGGCTCGGCTCCCGCCGGTTCTGCGGGCCCTGTCCGGCCTAGGGGCCGCGGCGGAAATAACTGCAGAGACCCCCAGGACCTCGAGGAGCCCGTCAGGATCGGAAGGGATCCGAAGGAGCCGTCCGTTCCCCGGGGCGGCCTGTCGGGAGCCGCAGGGCCCGCTCGGGCCCAGGGCTGCACGTCCCGGTGCTGCCCGCCGCGGCCCCGGAGCTGTGCCCTGTCCCGGTCCGTGCCCCTTTCTCGCTCGGGAGTGGGAAGCAGGGGGGGGATTGCCAAACCAGATCCGCCTGCCCCTCTCAGCCGCGGCCCCCGAGCGAGGGACGTTACCTGCAGCACCGCAGCTACACGGAAATAACAACCGGTTTCTTTCTTTGAGCTCCCCCTCCTCTTTTTTTTTTTCTTTTTTTTTTTTTTTTTTTTTTTTTTTTTTCTGGAGGGGGAGTTTGCTTTGTCCCAAATCGTGTGCGGCGAGGGAGGCCTTCTGCAAAGAGAGCACGGGCTCTGCACCGCCGCGGCTCTTGGCAGATCTCTCGGGGTTGCAAAGGAGAGGGGAAAAAAAAAAAAAAAAAAGAAGAAAAAAAGAAAAAGAAGGAAGAAAAAAAAAAGGAGCCGAGGCAGGCAGGCAGCGGGAGCAGCGAGCTCCCCGCCTGCCCCGGGGGGAGCGGGGCTGGGGCCAAGCAAAGCGGAAAGGGGGAGGCGCCCCGCGGGGCTGGGCGCGGGGCAGAGAGGCGGAGGGCACCCCGCGGAGCGGCGCGGAGCGGCGCGGAGCTGGGGGGGAAAGCGGGAGCCGGAGCGGAGCCCTGACCGCCTGTTTTTGGAATGATTTCAGCTATCTCCAGCCCCTGGCTCACCCAGCTGTCCCATTTTTGCGATGTTGCAGCTTTCACGGCCAACAGCCTGAGCAGCCTGAACGCCTCCGGGGGGTACCACCTCTCCCCCTCCCCGGGGGACCCGTACGGACAGCATGAGCCGCCGCACTACGAGCCCTGCACGGCTCAGCAGCACCCGCACCCGCCGCCCCAGCCCCAGCACGGCTACTCCTCCCCCCCAGCCCCAGCACGGCTCCTCCTTCGGCGGGGCGGCAGCCGGGGCCAACCCGCCGCCCCCCGGCCCCGAGCCGCCCGAGGGCACCGGGGGAGCCGCCTCGGGACCGGCCGCCGTCTCGGGCTGCTCGGCGGGGGCTGCGGCTCCCGCCAAGGCGCCGGTGAAGAAGAACCCCAAGGTGGCCAACGTGAGCGTCCAGCTGGAGATGAAGGCGCTGTGGGACGAGTTCAACCAGCTGGGCACCGAGATGATCGTCACCAAGGCCGGCAGGTCAGTGCGAGCGGCCCCGGGCACCCGGGCGAACCGGGGCGGGAGGGCCCGGCCGGGGGCGGTTTAGGCGAAGATCGAGGCTGGCCGAGGGCGAGCGGCGGAGCGGCCCGGCCCGGCCGCTGCCGTCATTCGATCCCGGCGCTTCTCCGGGGGTGGGGGGGCGAAATCTGCGAGCTCTTGCGGCCCGAAGGCCTCGGGTGGTGCGGGGAAGGACGCGGAGCTCCTGCGGGCTGGCGGCGAAGGCGTGCGGGGGCGGCGGGCAGGCCCGGGGGAGCCGCTCCGCCGCCGGGTTTCGCTCCCGCTGGAACGGGCGCCGAGCTCCGCCGGGAGCCTCCGGCTTTCGGTTGCCCCGCACGGGGCTCGGATCCGTGTCTGCGGAGGACACGGTGCCCCCGGGGCGGACAGCAACGGCTCGGGGAGGGGGAGAAAAAAACAGCCCCGTGCAATACCTGTAACTAAGTAAACTTTTAGCACGGGAAGGTCTTTTCCTTCCGGCGAGGACGCAAACAGAACCCAATTCCGCACCTTGAAGCGTCCTCCGGGGCTGCCGCGTTTCCCGACTCTCGGTGCGGAGCGCGGCTGAGCCCGGCTGCCCTCGGCCCGGCCCCGGGACCCCGCTCCCGCCCGGGAACAAAGGAAGCGGCTGATGCGGCCGCGTTAGAAACGAGCAAAACACGTAGGGAGAAGAGGAGCCCCGATCGCGGTTGTTAATTACTGCATTTAATTGCGATCGCCGGGAAGCGCCGCGGCGGCTCGGGCAGGGCTGTGGGGCTTCTCCCTCGCCGGCTCCGGGCAAACGCTGCCTTCGGGGGGGCGAGCACGTTGCTCGGGCTCCGGTACCTTCCCCTGATTTAGAGCGATCAGGGGCGGGGGCGAGAAAAATAAACCCAAACGATTTAACCAGTCCCGCGGTGCTCGCTCTCAGTGAGCCCCGGGAAGGCTCGGCGGGACCCCGGGCACGGCCGCAGCCCCCGCCGGGGGGGGCTCCGCTCCCGGCACAGGCGGTGACCGCGGCCGTGAGCTCCCGCTCTCCCGCCGGCGGCTCTGAGGGTCCCGAGGGTGCAAAAAAAAAGAAAAAAAAAAGGAAGGCTCGGCGGGACCCCGGGCACGGCCGCAGCCCCCGCCGGGGGGGGCTCCGCTCCCGGCACAGGCGGTGACCGCGGCCGTGAGCTCCCGCTCTCCCGCCGGCGGCTCTGAGGGTCCCGAGGGTGCAAAAAAAAAGAAAAAAAAAAGAAATATATTTACACATACACGGCTGCATACTTTTTAAAAAATTAGCAGTTTACTAGGATTTAAAAAATCACCGCGGTGCCCGGTGGAAGAGCAGCCGGCGGAGGGGCCGTGATTTCCCGCAGCCGGTGCCTGCCCCGGTACCGGTCGCGCAGCCCGTTGTCTCCGGCCGCGGCCCCTGAGCCCGGCGCCGGGCGCTGCTTCCCTCGGCGGAAAAGGTCGGGCAGGCTCCGGGCGGAGGCAAACAGGAGCTCTTCGATCTGGCTTGTTCGCTCTCCCAGGACAGAGGAAGGATTGCAAACACTCACTGCAAAAGGGCTCGGAAATGAACCAACTCGATTTGAATCGGGAGCTTTTCTTTCCCTCTTCTTCGTTTATTTTATGACAACGACAAATCTCCAGACGGGCGGGTAAAAACAGGAGAAAAAGGGGTAAAATCAGCAGGAAAAGGGTCAGAGAAGGCGCTGCGAAGCCTGTTCTCTCCCAGCTCCTCCGGGCTGGCCCTGCTGTTTGTCTAGGTGGGTCTTATCATCTCGGGTTGTTTGTTTTAAAACTAAGTTTTAAAACAAGAAACACCGGAACTGGAGCTAATGGGGTCTTTTACACTTTTAAAAATAATAATAACAGAGGGAGCGATTGGAAACGTTCTCCAGAGTTTGCTAAAGCGTTACAGGGAGGGAGACGCTGCCGCCCGATCCTGATGGTGCCCGGCAGCGCGGGGCCCAGGCTGGCAGGAGCTGCGGGGCCAAAGCCCCGGTGCCCCCGCTCCGGCCGCCGTGAGGGCAGCGCGGCCTCTGCTCGGCGGGGAGCAGCGGCGACAACCAAAAAAGCCCCGGGAAGAGGCGCAGCGGGTCCGGCCGTGAGCCTCGGGAATGAGCCGGGGGGGCCCCTCCGTGTCCGGGTTTGATCGCGTTGTTTTTTCAGCGGCTGTTGGGAGTTTGGTTTTTCAACGGCTGCAAACGCCACCACCCCCCCACCCCCCCCGAAACGGCGCCCGCTCCGCTTCCTACTCGGGGAGGGAAAAAATAATCTATCGAACAAAGCGAGGCTGTAACGAGCCCCGACGCGAGGACGCACCCCCGGCCTGTCCCGCCGCGGGCCGAGCCCTGTCCCCGGTGTGTGCGGAGGAAGGGCCGGGGGGGCCGCCCTGGCCCCTTCCCTCAGCCCACCCCGGAGCGCGTTGGCCCCGCAGCCCCTCAAAGGAATCGTGCCCTCCCTGAGCGTGGGACCCGCGGCCCTGGCTTAGCCCGGGGTCCCCAGGGGTCTGCGCGGAGCAGAGCAGCGAGGACGGTCCCGGGGGGCGACCTGCAGCCCCGGGCTCCTTCCCGCTCTCCTTCCGCCCCGCAAAGGTGCGGGACCGGGTGCCCGATCGGGCTCTGGCAGCGGAGCGGAGCCGGGAGGGGGCTCTCTGGGAGATTCCCGGTGCCCTCTAGTCTTTGCCCGCCGCGGGGGTGCGTTTGCCCCTCTGGGCTGCGGGAGGTCTCCTGCTGGCCCCAGGGACCGCACTGCTTCTGCAACTGCTGGGTTTAAATGGATGCAAATTTAGGGGGGCAGAAGCTGCAGAAAAGGGACCTCGATTCCCTTGGGTCAGCCTCAGGAGAGCCCAGACGTGCCCCCCCCCGCCCCGGATTCCCCGATCTTGCGGGGCTCTGCCTCCCTGTCTAGAGGGAGGGTAACGCCTCGCATCTGCCTCAAATCAAATCAGCTGGAAAGATGGGGAAACGGCGGGGAGGAAATTCTTTTCACTTGTGTCTCCCCATGGCAAAGGGGGAAGTGGTGGCGCTTTTTCCCCCGCGGTGGGACATTTCGGGTGCCCGTCACCAGCGGCCCCGGGGCCGGCGGGGGAGCCCGGGCCCCAGCGCTGCCCCGGTTCAACTCGGGATGCTGCCGGGGGACACGGCATCTCCCGTCCGTCCCTCTCCCCGCGCTGCCCGGCCATATCTGCCTTTTTCTCCCGTACCGGACGGCGGTTCCGCGAGGGGACCTGACATGGCAACCGGGAGTACGCCGGGGCTACCGGAGGGGAAGCGCCGGGAATGTTGCGGGGCTCCCGCACCCGGCCCTGAGCCCCCCGGGGCTCCCGCCGCTCCTCAACTCAGCTCTGCCTTCTCTCCTCTCTGTGCCAGGCGCATGTTCCCCACCTTCCAGGTGAAGATATTCGGGATGGACCCCATGGCTGACTACATGCTCCTCATGGATTTCGTTCCCGTGGACGACAAGCGATACCGGCAAGTAACGCCCGCGGGGCTCGGCGCTGCAGGGCCCGGGGGGTCGCCGCCTGCCGGGGCTCGGGGACGCGCCCCTGGGCCCGACACGTGTCGGTGCGAGACGAGGAGGAGGGGTGGGCTGCGGCTGCCCTGGGGACCGTTTCACACCGGGACCCGCAGGGCCCCCCGTGGCTTTCGCCCAACGCCCGGCGCGGGCAGCGGCGCAGGCTTCCGCGGGGGGCGGCAGGGCAGGAGCCGCCTTGTTCTACCCAGACAAGCCCTCCCCGTCCCGCCGCTCCCCGTCTTCCCCCGGGCAAACTCCAGGTTCCCCCTAACGAAACCCCCCCGGTGCTCCCCGAGTGCCGCAGCCGCTCGGCGGGGGCAGCCAACCCGCGGGCACCCCGGGGCTGCGCCGTGCCCGCCGGGAGCCCCGGGCTGAAGAGAGCGGGGTTTGTCCTCGGGAAAGGCTCCGTCCGGCCGAGCCACACACCCCTGCCCTTGTCTCCAGCGGCAGCGGAGAAGGCCCTGGGAAGCGGCGAGGCAGCGGTGCGGGCTGGTTTGCCAGCCCTTTAATTTAAAGACAGTGAAAGGCGCATTATGTATTTAGCTTCAGATGAGGACGCCGAGCAGGCAGCCCGGGTAGGAATCGCAGGGTCCGATATATAAATATTTAGACAGATATCCAAATTCTCAGGGCGTCCTAGAAATGTTTGCTTGTCAAGGGAAGTGGGATATATAACATCCAATTGAGTATATCTTTAAAAAGTAATGTTTCTGCTCGAGTCCAATGGTGTCTAATTCCCCCTGTGCAAACACTGGCTTTTAAAGTAAACACGTGTATAGAAGATTGGTTTCTCTGTTTTAAATGTTACTGTTGAATATGTACTTTGAAAGAATGAAACAAGGCTGCTAAACGCTGGACCTGCTATTAATCCACACATAAATTTCCACTCTTCACTTAAAGCCAGAACATTACTGTATAGAGGGCTCCCGTTTTTTTTTTTTTTTTTTTTTTTCTTTAGAGGAAGAGGGAGCTTTTGGGGCTCCTCTCCCAAATCTGTGCAGGTAGCTATAAACTGCCTCCGTCCTGTAGATTTCTCTCCCGCCAGTTCCGTTGGTGACCTGGTAAAATATTATTTTCCCACCGCAACGAGTCTGGCGGTGGGGAAGAGCTCGTTCCTCTCATTCCCGGGGGAAGCGGGAGCGATGCGGGAGGTGGCCTTTCCCCCTCGCCGGGCCGGACCCTGCGGGGACACGGGGTGCTGCGGCTGAGGGTGCCTTCCCCCCGCAGGTACGCCTTCCACAGCTCCTCCTGGCTGGTGGCCGGCAAAGCCGACCCCGCCACCCCCGGGCGGGTGCACTACCACCCCGACTCCCCGGCCAAAGGGGCGCAGTGGATGAAGCAGATCGTTTCCTTCGATAAGCTCAAACTGACCAACAATTTGCTGGATGACAACGGGCATGTAAGTGTTCCCCGGGGCGGGGGGGAAGGCGTCAAACGCGGGGCTGCAACCGGGGGGAGCTCCCGGGGATTCCCGGGGCGCCTCCGCCGCCCCCGCCCCGCGGCCGCCCCCGGGCAGGGGAGCCGGCAGGGCCGGGGGCTGCCTCTGCTCTCTGGATGCTCCGCCTGGATCAGTTATTGTCTCCTTGCTCGTTTTATCATTCAGATCATTTTGAACTCCATGCACAGATACCAGCCGCGTTTTCACGTGGTCTACGTGGACCCCCGGAAAGACAGCGAGAAATACGCGGAGGAGAACTTCAAAACCTTCGTCTTCGAGGAGACGCGCTTCACGGCCGTGACCGCCTACCAGAACCACCGGGTGAGGCGGCGGCGGGGCCCGGGGCAACGAAAAAGGGGGGTTGGGGTCGCCCCGGAGGTACCGGGGGTTGGAGGCCGGGCCGCGGGTGTCCGGGGGCTCTCCCGCCGCCTCCTCCCCGTCTGCCGAAGCCACCGGGGCGGCGGCGGGAGGAAGCCGCTGGCCGGGAGCGGGCAGAGCCGCCCGGGGAAACGACCGAGCTCCGGCCCCACCGCCGGCTTCCCCCGCCCGAGGGGGGGACATCATTACCCGGGTAAACCCGGCCCGGGGCTCCCTGGGGAACTGCGGGCGTCCCGCTGGGAGATGTCACTCACAATTCGTTTGGATAAATCTGCGATTTTTACTTCTCTCAGCCCGCGGCGGTCTGTGCCTCCCCAGAATACAATTATATCCTAAAAAACGGAGCAAACGAAACAAAACGAGGCGCCCGCCCGAATCTGATGCGGATTTCTGGGCAGCAATTAATCCAATTGCTCCTTTAAATCGCAGCAGCGTAACGTAAAGAGCGGGAACCCCGGCCCCGGGTGCAAACGCTATTTCCTACCGGGGGCTCCCGGGCGCGGCCAGAACCGCCCCGCTCCGCGCTGCTGCCGGGGCTGTCCCCGAGCCCGCCGGGCACCCTCGGCGGCGGCACCGAGCACACCGACTCGGGGTGTCCCGTGTCCCCCCCACCCCGAGAGGCGGCGGGGCCGGAGCAAGGCTGTGCCTTTAAGGGGCTCCGGAGTCCCTCCCCGGCTGGCATTCTCCTGATGGCTCCGGACAGCTGCTCTTTCTCTCCTGCTTTCTATCAGTTTGACCTCTAAGGCTGGAACTGTCACTGAGGGGCTTAAAGTTTGTTTTTCAACCCATTCCGGAAACTCACAATCACATACTTTATCCGTGGATTTGCTTAAATATAGAAAATGTCCCGCCTTCTCCCCGGCGAATTAAATAAATACATAAGTATGATTTATCCAGTGATTTGTCTTAGCTGCTCCAGTGGTGACCCATATAATGTGGCATTTTCTTACAAGTGCATTTACACAGCTTTTGCAACTGACTCGGGCTGCCTCTCCCTTCGCCTTGAACTCGGATTGGGTAGCGAGCTAGCCCGCATTTTCTAACAGAGAGAAAGCACATGTTTGTGGTCGGTGGCCCCACCGGCCACCTGGGCCCTCTCCGTTACACCAGGCACCGCCGGCCCCCAGAGCCTGCCCGGGGCCGCACCGGCGGAGCGGGGACCCCCCCGTGTGCCGCTGGGAGACATCTCCTGCTTCTCCTTACAGATCACGCAGCTGAAGATCGCCAGCAACCCTTTTGCCAAGGGATTCAGAGACTGCGACCCTGAGGACTGGTAAGGCTGTGTCTTTATTGATTACAACTATGGCCCGCTCACCCCCAGTTTCACACGCACCTGCCCATTTGCACAAGGCTTGCACGGAGTTTGGGGGAGACTGAGCTGGGCCCTGTTTGCCAGCTGCAGCTCACAGCAGCAGCGCTCCAAGTCCTCGCTCTGTTGGACCATTGACTCCGTAACACTTGTCCCCTTCTTCTTCCAGGCCCAGGAATCACAGGCCGGGGGCCCTTCCTCTCATGAGCGCTTTTGCCAGATCCCGGAATCCAGTCTCTTCCCCAGCCCACCAGAACGGGACAGAGAAAGGTGAGAGCGTTTAGATGTGGTGTTTAGATGTGGTGTTGGGGGATATGGTGTAGGGGAGAACTTTAGAGTAGGGTAGATGGTTGGACTCGATGATCCCAAGGGTCTCTTCCAGCCGAGATGATTCTGAGAGCCCTGGCGGCGGGGGCAACCTGTGCCCCGGAGCCCCAGCGTGTGCCCGGGGCAGCCCTGCCGGTGCACAGTGCCCAGCCTGCAGCGGGCACGGCTCCGTCCCTCATCAGCTTTGTGCTGCTGCCTCTTTTTTAAACAAAGATACCCACCTTCGTTAGCCTAATTAATTTTAAGGGGTCTGAAACGCTCGCTGCTGCTGTGCATAAGCAATTTTGCCGCTTGAAAAAACTGCCCTTTTCATTTATTGTCCCGTTTTCGACTTTTGGGCAGCAAGCTCGGGTTTCGGGCAGGGAAGCGGCGAGGCCGCTGCCCACCCCCCCCCCC